GATCATCAGGCAGGCTTCAAAGGGAAGAGTGGCTGTGAATGTATTCACTGTCCTGTCACTGGTCCTGGATTTTGTTGTGACCCTTGATGTAGTATGGGCTGTTTAAGTCAGGCTGGGAGATTAGCTCAGGGACACAAGGGGTTTTGAAGAGTCACTAAGGCACTGCACATTAGGTTTGAAAGAGGCTTAGGTGGAGAGAGGACAGCAAGTGCAGACAAGTGGAAGAGGCTGCAGGTAGTTCTGGTGACTGAGGTTGGAGGCAGAAATAGACAGGGAGGCCTTCACAATGGGACTCAGGGCTGCCCTTGGCAGGGGAGACCATTGGAGGGCCAGGGTAGTATTGGATCCTATGTGAATGTGCAAAGCCCTCTCTGGATGCCGTGTGCTAGGTACTCTGGGTAGGCTGGGGGTGGGGGTGTTGCCTACAGTGGGAAGGAGGAGGAGGCTGTGGGAATACAGAGTATGGAAGAGTGGTATGCACGTGGAGAGAAGTGTGAAGTGGTGGCCCAAGGCCCTGTGATAGGATCTCAAGGAGGAAGGGTAAGCCCGTGTTTGGTTGTGTCTTGGAGGCATAATGTGGGAGACCCCCAAGGAACTGCTTGCCAAGAGGGTGTGTCCGTAGCCCTACCTAATGCTGGGCCCACAGCTTAGACGATGTGTGTCTGCCCACCTCTTGGAGCTGTCCGCTGACATGGTGATCAGCGAGACTTGAAATGAGGGCAGGCGCGAGTGCCACCAGGGCCTGTTATCTCTCCTGAGATGGGCCTGAGGAGTAGTGCGTGGATGGGGCAATGAACTTGGAGATTTGGGAGAGAAGCTAATGGAATGAACTGTTGTCCCCACCTTGGCAGGGCTGTGTGACCTTTGAGGACGTGGCCATTGACTTCTCTCAGGAGGAGTGGGGGCTCCTTGATGAGACCCAGAGGCTGCTGTACTGTGATGTGATGCTGGAGAACTTTGCAGTCCTAGCCTCCCTGGGTAAGACCCTAACAACCACCTGTGTTCTGCTCTAGTTTCTGCCTGCCTTCTTTTCCCCAGAGATAGCTCTGTCCTTCCTACAGCCAGACCGTGGCACTGTAGTGTGTAGCCTCCGTCGCGTGTGCACTGTGGGTATCAGGCCTGAGCTGTGTGAAGAACCCTGATCAGAGCAATCCCCAAGAAGCTTTACCACCTGCCACCTGAGTGTGCAGGGATGAGGCTGGGAGTCAGAATTCTTGTGTTCAGCCCCATGGATCCCACCCTGATTGCCCTCTCCCTGCCTGGATGACGTTTCCACACCAGCTCTGTGCACCTGCTTCTTCTTGTTCGTCTCATTGACATTCCCTCCAGTTGCCTGTACCACGAATCGCAGGCCTTGTCATGGTCACTACTGACACAGAACCTGGACTGTTCTTGCAAGAACTTCTCTGGACGTTTTTATTTGTAATGTCAATCTTCTGTCCTGTGATCTGTTGTGTGCTGAGCTGCTCTGGGACAGTGGTGGTCACTCCCTGACCTGTCTGTCCCTGCATCATGCGGGTCCCCTCATGCAGAGGGCGTTCAGGGAGAAGTCCAGTCACTTCTCAGATGGGCATGGCAGCGTGATTTCAGAGGGCACCTAGCACTGCTGAGCTGCAGCTAGGGGAGGGCATGACATCAAGGTCTACTTAAATCATACCAGGAACTTATTTTCTGTCCAACAGTGTTTTTGTCACAACTCGTTTCTTTTTGTGAAGTGGTAGTAATAATACCAGAACCTTTCTCACTTCAGGGGGGATAGTTCCTAGGAATGAAGGTTAGACATGCCTCCACTTCAGTCTTTTTACCAATTCTGGCGCCAACCACCCTAAGCACAACACTGTCTATTCCTCTGCTGGGTTTGATAATCCATTGCAGAGGCCACACAGAACTCACGGACCACACTTACAGGTAAGCGTTTTATTAAGGAAGCAACAATTCAACTTGGGATCTGGATCAGGATGCATGTAGGCAAAAATCTTCCTTCTTCCATCCCTTGTCACCTCCTCTTGGCAGAGCAAGCACGCAGGCCCTTCTACCTGCCGTGCACACCCCCGCTTGGCTGTGTAGGTCTGTCTCATGTCAGCCCCCTCTTGGCCCTGTGGGTCTCATCTCAGCCCCTGTTTGACCACGTAGGCCTCATGGCAGTCCCCGCTTGGCCGTGTAGGCCTTGTCTCAGTCCCTTCTTGGTCGTGTAGGTCTGTCTTCTCTCAGCACCCGCTTGGCCGTGTAGGCCTCATCTCAGCCCTGTCTTGACCACGTAGGTCTGTCTCATCTCAGTCCTCTCGGGACAGGCTTCTGCTGGCCCTGCCATCTGTCACCACTGACTGATGGAGGGTCCCTTCTGGCCATGTTGCCATCTTCAGTGTTGCAGCCTTTGACCATGTTACAGCTCTTTCAGGAGGTTCCTTGCCTCCTTTCTCTGCCTTTTTTCTTTTCCACTGCTTTCTGCCACCTCTCTCATCTTGTTTGAAAAACCTGTGTGGCTGGCTGCATAGATACACAGCTCCTTGTCAATTTCAAGGCACGGCTCTTCCCAGCAGCAGCCACATGCTGACCAATCCCCTCTCAGTGGGCCATGGACACTATTTGCATAGTAGGCTACAA